AATACACATTTTGTGTCCATTAATATTTCTATTCTTATCTGCATAAGCCCTGTAGATAAAACTTTATATTATATATAAAGTAAAATATTCAGCATGCGTTGATCATATTTAAGAAAAGGCATTCCATTTTATTCGAAGACTGCAGTATAATTTGCAAGAGAAGGGRAGGAAGGGAAAGAAAGGAAGGACTTTTTTCCTCCTAGCCCCTTGGAAGGCACGTTGAGAGCCTCTCAGTTCACTCAACATGGAAAATGCYACTGGAAACATCGACTTTGTAAAACAACAACAATCTCAGTTCTGCAGGAGGCAAGTGCTGCCCATGCAGGTGGTACCTACTCATGCTGAGCACTTTCCAGCCCACTTCAAATTAAAAGCTTTGCTTCATGTGGACAGGAGGAAATCAACTGCACTCTTTTTTCTCACCAGGAAGCTCAAGCTAATCTGTACCTCTCCAAGTACAGAAAACAGCAACATGATCTGGATGATGCTGAAGAAAGGGCTGAAATAGCTGAATCTCAAGTTAATAAGCTGAGGAGCAAATCAAGAGATATTGGCATGAAAAAGGTATGATCAGACCATATGGGGTGGATGTGTTTAACACACAATAGTGGATGCTCTGTTTCTATTACATCTCTGAAAGTAGTGTTGACTAGAAAAAATTCTTGAGTTACTGCATTTTTTTAGTTTTACTCTACCCTTTAACATTRAGGTAATCCTTTAGGATAGCAATCAGTCACTTAGATAAAACATATTCTCTGTGCTCTTGATGTGGTCATGTAACCTCTCTTCTCAGCAGCAGAAGCAGAACTGGTGATTTGGTGGATRTGTTTYGGGTTWTGGGGTTTCTTTTTCCAMGGAATATTAAAAGACTCCACCTTTTTCTCTCTCTGATGATGCAGACTACTGTATATGTAATACAGGCTGGGGATTACCACTTAGGCAGATATTTTAACAWTGCTCTTTCAATGAACTTGTATTGGTTTGAAGAGCTGGATGAAAAAAAGTATTGGTGATTAGTCACTTAAGTGCTGAGAAGTCATTAGTTAGAAACATATTTGTGGTGTTTTGCTCTTGAACTGAATGGTAGCAGAATAATTTTGATGAAACTAGAAGGCACTTAAGAATTTAGTCTGGAACTGAAAGCAAACTTGTCTATGCTTGCCTGGGGTAACCAGGGCAATTAAGAGTGGGGTTGTTACTTTTAGGAATGATAGAAAGGGGAATTGGATCATTGCTTAATCTGTTTAATTTGCAAGTGAAGCAAACCATCATGCTTAATATCATGTAAGTTTTATAGAGCGGACAGCTCCCAGGCTAGAGAAAAAGGGAGTGGGGGGGAACCCCTTTACACTCAATTTCTGCTTTTGTATTGGCCTAATAAAGTCACTTTTGATATAAATGACTGTTGCTCCACCATTTCGAGTAGAGCTACATTAAAACTATGTAAAGATCTGGTTTCTCACACATTTATGTACAACGGAAGCAGTACTGTAACTAAAGCTCAAAAGAGTTGCAGCTTTTAAGGGTAAAAAATTTCCACAGATTTTTCTAAATTATTCCAGCCCTACAAAAAAAAAAAAAGTGAAAACTCAGATAGATTCATTTAAAGATTCGCAAAGCATTGGCATCACGCAAACACTGAGATAGGTACACCATGAGAGTAATTTATTTTTTAAAATACTATTGAGATTGCTGTTTATTTCTTGCATCTTACTAGTACCTTCTTTCTGCCTCAAATACATGTAAGTCCCRGAATAGTGGATGCCTGTTTTCATTAGTCAGATGCTGTTTGCCYACACTRATTGCATCTCTGGCTGTAGCAAAAGTGTTTCTCTGCCGAAAGATGAGCACAGTGGTGCACACAGAGGTGTCAGCTCCACAAGAAGGGTCTGGTGGCAGTAACTGCAAAAGCTGCCAGGAAACATTCAGGTGGTGACTGCTGTCCCAAAAATCACAACACATCTCCTTTTGGGGAGAGAAGGGCACTGTAGAGACTGCTTTAATCCTGTAGCATTAGAAATACTTTGTTTACTGCTACTAGCACTCATTTCCTGGAAACTCCTGGGAATGTGTGTGAGTCAGAACATCACCACCTATTGAAACAAGATTGTACAAAGGTGCTCTGCTATCAAAGGGATCTATATAATCTACAATGAGGGCAAGACACCTGCATTCTTAGCTGGAATAAGAGACCAAATGTTGGCTGGATTGCTGCTGGTCTATTTCAGATACAAAATGGTAATACTGAGGAGCAGAAGCATTAGTGAAGAGAAGCTTTTGACATTTACTTGTGACTTTACCTAAAACCCATCAACGCATCCATTTTTAACAGCTGTATACTATCTCAATTGCATTTCAGGTTCATGAAGAGGAATAAAAAAATCCAAGCTGACAGATATGAGAAGATACTTGATATAATCAGGCACAACTGAAAGCAGATGTAGAAAAAAAATAAGCACTTACAGAAATAAACAACATCAAGTGAAAATCCAAATAGACTGTMTAGCATATTTCATTCATTTATTTGTGTTTCTATTTTGCCAAGCCTCAGGGATCAATAGAAGATTACATCTCGCCAACAGCCAGCTTCATTATGTTTGAACAAATCCTAATTGGCAGATCTCTGACAAAATCAAAACCAAGGGCAAATCCAGCCATGCTTCGCAGCCTCGTGTATTTCATATGCAGATTGCTAAAGCAGCTGTCTGTGGTTCAGGAATGGTACTCCTCAGTTCACTCCCTCAAACCACACTGCCACTCTCCTCCCTTACCACTGCTTCCCACTCAAAGAATGGAGGTGGGAGTTGGAAGCACAAAAATGTGAAAGATCAAAGGCTGAAATAAGAACATTTTCCTGGAAACAGCAAYGAGATAAGAAAATGAAAGTAACAGCAACAATATTAATTATAAAGTGTACAAAAGGGAGGGTGATACCCTTGCAGAAATGCTCACTGTGGGCCCCTCCTTGAAGGAACCCCTTTCATTCCAAAGAGACTCCAGGTCCCTCTCCTCATCCCTCCCCACTCCTGCCCTCCAATGAGATGAGGTGGTATTGAGTAACATTAGGGTGCTGGTCATGCTGCCTCATGGCTATTGCAAAAARATTAACCCTGTCCTGGCTGTAACTAGAAGATTAAACCTGTGCAGGGGCACAGCCCTTAAGGCTGGGATAATCCAGCTTCCATCTGTCCTGCCAGTAGGACCCTGAGTTTTGGAGGAGAAAAGGAAATAAAGATTTTCATATAAACAGTCAGTTTGGAACCTTCCATTACCACCATTCAAAGGACTTCTCTTTGCCAGCTGCAGGATGGGCACAGAAGACACTGCCAAGGGACATCTCCCTGTGGCTCAGAAATAGTGTTCTCTTAGATTGTTCCTGCCTTTAAACAGGGAGCTGGTCTGGTGGTTTAACACCAGCCAGAAAATTAAACTCCAAAAAAGCCACTCCTAAAATTAAACTCCAAATAAGCCACTCGCCTTTCCCCCACCACACCCTTTCTGCTATGAGAGATAAAAGCAGAGACTGTGGGTTGAGAGAACAAGTTRCTGAAAGCAAAAAGCAATGGGATGAAAATGCACAGTGACACCAACAATGTTAATAACAAAACTATACAAAAAGAGATGATGCTTTAYCCACAGAAAGGTGTTTGCCACCTAGACTTTGTTCCACATGGCCACTGTGACAAGGACAAGATGGCAGATGCTCCCCGTAGGTCACATCCATGTTGTTCCCCAGGACAAGGACAACCAACTGTTCCAGTGCTGCTGGCTCCTGTTGTTTCCCAAGACCAAGACAAGATGGCAACCACTCCCTCACACCACATGGCCCTCAGGAAAAAAATAAGATAGTGGGGGGAGCCTCCCACAGCTAATGTTTCCCATCYCTGAGCCCAAGACAATGGAAAACGATGACAGACAAACCCCCAAAAACCGGATTGTCCATGTCCCACCRCCCATTATCCAGATACTGTGATAGGCTGTGCTCAGCAGCATTCTCTCCTCTCACCTCGGTCTGCCACTGTTCTGCTCCCCACAGCTGTCCCCACTCTGACACTTTTCTGCTTGCCCCACCACTGCCAGGTGTGCGCTAAGCTCAGACTTGCTGCTGTCAACAGCACGTGTGGTCTTTCCTTTAAAGTAAAACAGTAAATGAAATAAAAGCCAGTAAGCCCTGTCTTTCCTTCAGACTGAAAAAAAAAAATTCCTTAAAACTTAAGGATTTCTTCTTCTGTAGAAACTTMTTTTCCCTTTGGGAAATCCAAGTTCCAATTTTTCATGCCGACTTGGCATGGGACAAGTGAGAGAGTCAGACAAGCTCTGCCCTAGCCTCAGATTTTTGGCAACAGCTTAAAATTAAGAAATTTCTCTGGCCATAAATTCTAAGGATGGGGGATCAGGTCTATTTATAATTTTTTTTTTATTGAACAGACAAGAAGTAACACAAAAGATCTTAATCAGTTACTTATTTCACGGTATAAAACAAAAGAACTATCAGTAGATCAACAGTTGCATGATATAAGGTACCTGTACTAAAGGTAGCAAAAGAAACAGTACAGATTAGGAATCAAATACAACTTAGCACCAAAATGATGATAATGTTCAGGGAGTCCTTTCACTCAGCCCCTGCAAAGCAGGTGTCCTTGCTCAGGGAGAAATTCCAAACATTTCCAGGAAAATGCACAGATTTCTGCTTTGTGAAAGTTTGGCRTACCTTATATAGTTTGTAAAGTGAGTCTTTCAGTCAGAAATCCAACTTCTCTTTCCAGATCTCACTTCCACAGTCAGATGTTTGTTGTCAGCTGGGAGATGCCAGTGTTAATCCCACAGTACCAAAGTAACTCCCTACRAGACAGCTTTGTCTTGTCTGAGTTATGTCACTGGTTAATAAGCAACAGATGAGCTTCTTGCAGGGTGAGATGCCCTGATACATGATTTTTCACATTCAAGTGTCCAGTGACTTTTTTTTGTCTTTCTCATTGTCTGTCACTGTTGCCCAATCACATTTCCATGTAGTTCTTACTGTAACCCAAAGGGGAAGGTGAAAGAACTCTTCATTCTTTTCATCAACAAACTCAGTAGTATCAGTGTGCAGAGAGTGATTTTCTTCCAGTATGTCAAGGTGTTTATATGATTCCTTCCCTTCTTTTCTAGACAAAATAAAAATACTTGTAAGAACTACTGATGTTTAAAATTAATCCTCCTGTGAAAACAGAACAAGACATACTCACTTAYAAAGACAAGTCAGCATTTTCCTTTTTAGCATTATCTGTGTAAAACAAGCATTCACACAACAATGCAGAAACATTTCTGTTTTTTCCATCTAGTCTTCATCAATGTAACCAGAGCTGAGTTTACAGGTTAATTGTACCATTTCCTCTGATTACAATGTGTTTGAAGGCTCAGCAGGTCTCAAGATAATTAATCTTGCTTAAATTGTTTAGACAACTGCATCTCAAAGTATATTATCATCTCTATAAAAGTATATTATCATCTCTATAGCATGTTACAACTGTTTAATAAGAAGCAAGCAAGTGAATCTTTAAATAGAGAGAAAAATGAAAAAAAGACTGAGGCATAATAATTTCAGAGTTTTCTTTCTCATGCATTTTTCCTGTACCTCATAGTAACCATCATAAAATGTCTCCTGAAGCTTACCAAGACCCAACTGTGACAAAATCTTAAGATGCAGGGAGTTTGAAGGTAAATTTCTCCATGGATGAGGCTGTAGGGTCAGGCATAGAAGGATGGACTAAGAACTAAAGTACGGATTTTTAAGGATACTCACTACAATTGCAGAGGAAAGAGACAGAATATTTTAAGACAGAAGCGGCCTATTACAAACACATGAGAATACAATACATCCACCTGAAAATGCATTTTTCTGTATTCCAGTAAAGATGAGAGGTGTGCAGACAGATGAGGTCAGGGACCATATGGTTCTAACAATCTCCTAAACAAAGCATTTAGTATCACTTTTCAAACTTCAGTTTTAACAGGCTTTGACATTGGATACAATTAAACAGTAATTTGGGCCCTAATGAAGACTAGGTATGAGCATTGTTTGAGAAACTTCACATTTTGGTTTGGATTATTTTTGGTCTTAAAGACAAGTGAGAAAATTCAGCAATACAATCATTATTTAAGCAAGCTATTAGAAAGTATTTGTGAGGGGTAACCAACACTTTCATGCTTTTATTAAGCACAGGAAACCATGTGATCAAAGGAAGGGCTTGTTGACATTGTTACAACCAAAATACTATCSCATAGATGTACCACAGAGGCTCCTCTGGACTTAGAAAATAGCAAGAATGAGGATAATTTATTTTTCTAAAACTTACCTTCCTACATTTTTAGTATTTTTGTATGCTTTAACCCATGAAAATAAAATTTATGTTTTGGTCAAACATTCAASGTCTGGATTTATGTTCTTCCCCTCATTTGAGTTGGGGATCCATTTTGAGGAAGTGGTCAATGGGTTGCAATCTCCCACTGCTGGAATTACCTTTTCCCACTTACTGCTCAGTTATTTTGACTTGACTTCTGGTGGCCCCTTCTCCAGACAGCCCATTCATGTTGGGATTGTCTTCTCTTCTTCTTAAAACAAAAGATCATTGGCAAACAATGCTAAACAGTGCAGTTGCTTAATTCTAACTTTCTAGCTACAGCTACTGATTAACAATTTTTTTTTAAAGTTGCAAAGTTTGACTCAAACCCTCATTCAAATCTTGAGAGGCTTGGTATCAACAGTTTTTTAAAAAATAAGTACTCTAATGATTGTACATACCTTTCGATAGCAAATTGCCCCTGCTGCCAGTGCTATCACTGCACCTGCTACCACTCCTACCACAATTTTCCAAGTGTTACCTGAATTGTCTTTAAAAATACAAATAACAAAACAGAAGTGATTTATAGTGCAAATTAATATTCACTGTTGTTCAATAAATGTACCAAAGTTATGATTTTTCTTATTTATAATCAAAAAGRTAGGATTTAAGGAGAAAGAAACATTAAAAGGAAACTGAGACAAAGACAACAACGTTTAAGTTACTTGACTCATGCTGCCTTTGAAGTGGTACTTTACCAACTTAAGTGCGAATAGCTGAAAGCAGATTATTTTACTTAATTGGGCTGATAGCAAATTTCATGTGTGCTCATGTGACAGGATTTGACAGCTTCTAAATACAAATCCCATTTAAAACCAATCAACTGCCCAGTATGCCAAACACTGTCTCCAGGCACGGTGCTCAGTGCCTTTAACAGTACTGCTGATTTACAGCAGAGCAGCTCTTTAAATGTTATCCAGCCTGGATCATAGATTTCACRACTCCTGTTGCACTGTCTTTGCAACTTTAATCTGAAACATGTCCCAACTTCATAGGAAAACCATGCAATTCAGATGAACACAAGAAATCCTGAGGTGTGTGTTAACAAAAGATTCCACAGGAGATCAAACCCCACCTAGCAGAACCCTCTGCACAGCACCAAACTGTAAGAACWATATGGTTTCTTCTGCCTCAGACTGCCTTTCCTCTGCTGTGCCTCATCCAAATAATTTGAAAAGTTCTACACTCCTCTGGAAACTTCTTATGGATGTCTGGCAAACAGCTAAAAAATAAGAACTGCTAGAACAGAGCATTTAATCGAGTCATTGCCTTTAGCTTGACTGTACCCACAYGCAGACCTACACTTACACCTTGTCAATTCCTTTGTAGAGCAGCTTTAAGGTGCAACCTCTTCCTTACACAGGAGAGAACTGCTTAAATGACTGTAAATTAATCTCTTTTCCCCTCAAAAACCCTTTTTCCAGTGACTCTTGGAAATCCTTCTGATGGCTCAGCAGCTGCTGTGCCATAACTGCTATCCACCATGGTCGAGCTCATTCCCTACTGTCTCCAGCTACTTATCTGCTTTCAGGCTGTGCTGCACAAAGGTGGTCATCTCTCTGTGTCTTCTCTGTTCTCTATAACCTAACTGTGGTCCCTGAGCCTGAACATTCTCTGAGCAGCACAGTAATGTCACCACCAAAGAGGTGCTTTGCATCACCTATGGCCGTTGTAAGATCCATCTGCAGAGAGCAGCTAGAGAAAGGCATTTGTAGCAGATGATGCCAGTCCCATTTGGACTGTCTCCAGTAAACATACAGGGAGACTGATGGACTTCTGCACAGAAGTTTGGAGTTGGTGTAACWCATWAGGGAGGGGAAAGAAAGGAAGACAAAAAGATGAAGCTATTATTACTTATTTTATCCCTCTATTTTTTCTTGTTTTGGCTAGTCTCAAGTTTTCTTCTTTGTTTAGAAGAGGTRCCCTATATTAGTTCTCAATCTTTTMGGTGATTATATCTAATTGTGTAAAATGCCTGTGTGATTCTGTTGTACATGTTACTGACAACAGTAACTAAGATTTCAGAGCTAGAATTTTACTATAGTTCATTAAAACACCAGCATGCATTTAAACATATATATCCCCAGGCCTAAAAAAGGCCTGCTGTGTAGAATTAAAGCTTTGAAAATAACAACTGTGTGTTCTCAAGCTTTCTTCTGCAGCCAAACTCAYACAACATGCTTTGGGCTTCCCATCATCTCTCTGCTAGACACAGCTTTAAACATTTCAAGCTATTTTTGCTGCCAGCAGAGCACTCAGGACAGGATTCTGAGAGCCCTGCTGTACCCTCAGCTATGAGGGCAGTTGGTGGCAACTGAAAGCAGCCACTGATTCTGAAACCTTTGCCACAATAAGCTGCTGGGAAAAAAAATAAGTCTATATAAAAAAACACAGTCTAGTCTTCAAATAAACATATTAGGTAACTTTTTCTTTTCCCTGGGCCAACAACAATAAAATATATGTCTCTTCTACCCAACTGTACCAATCACACAAGATAATTTTTCTCAGTATTTTATACATTTCTGATTGAGTCTTTTGGCTGTGCATTGTCCTGACTGAACAYTGATCCTCTGAAATTGAAGAAGYGGCAACTTACTGATGTGCAACGTTSTCACACTGAGTTTTGTGTAGAAAGGTGTTGAAACATTACACAGATATTCTCCATTGTCATCTGCAGTAAGATCATCCAATATCAGTGAAAAGTCACTTTCGTTAACCCGGACTCGAGGCTGGTGAGAGTGAGATGTGCCACTGAAGGAGGCCAGGACTGAGGTCACTGCATTTCTGTATAGTGTCCAGACAACACTGAAAYCATCAGTGTTTGCAATGTCATTGCTGTGTTCACAAGGCATTACGGTGCTACCTCCTTCCACATTAAACAGGTGGTCTGAAACAGATAAAGAACTCTGAAGGTTTTTTTGGAAAATACTGTGAAGGGTATTTAGATATTTTCTGAATTTTTTCTGAGGTTTGATACTACTATGGATAAATATAAAAGCATATTTCACTCCTTTGATATCAAATTCAAACATCACAGTATGTTTCCAGAAGCATCTGAAGATTTTAAACAAACCTATCTTACACCAAAACAATCTAATTGGTACTGGCAATTCTTTTTTTTTCATTTGACTATTTTTCCTCTGAGGGGCTCTTTAATAGAAGTGATTGAATCTAGTCTAAGTTACTATGTACAACAGCAGGAAATTCCACATGCTTGGAGCAAAGAGAAAATGCAATTAATCAGATACTTGCACATCTAAAGTGAAAGGATAAAACTCTTACAACATAATTTAACTAAAAGAATAAAAAGATTGTATGCAGTTAGAAATAACTTTCAGCTATGTGTATTTAAATACTTTACTTGTCTATATTGAACATTTAACAATTAATGAATAGCTTTAAAAAAGCAGAAAAGGGAAGGAGAAGGCAGGCAAGTGGAATTAATACCTAATATATAAAATACTAATACAAGRGAAGTCAACATCATAGCACAACTATTGATTTGACAGCAGTGGTGGCTGGCAGTCAGCTGGAAAGGAAGGTAATAGATTATTCTGACATGGTATAACCACACTTGATTTCTGTGGAGGGGGTTTAACAAACAGAGGTGTGGGGCTGAAAATCATAAAGACAAAACAAAATGGTCAATCCACACTGCTACTAGAGAAGCAAAAGGAAAGCAGTKTGCTTCCAAAATATTCTACTAAGGTGTTAGATGGATGCAAGGAAATTCAAATAAATTCGTAATGAAATGTACTTTTTTCTCTTGTGAAACAAAGGCATAGATTAACAAAACAGACATTTATAAAGCAATTGTTAGCTACTGTGAGGCCACACTTAAAATCTTCCATATTCTAAGCTACTCCATGTAAATGAAAAACTGCACTTGTTCTGGAGCTTATGCAGTGGGTTAGGAACTGAGAGCACATGGGTACACGTTAGTGGGACATCACTGTGATGGAAGCATCCATGAACATTTCACAAAAGAACTGCTCTTGTATTGCTCTTCATTCAATTAAAAAYATTTCCTAAGAAACAGGAGAAGTTGAAAAGTACCTGTTATTTACTTAAACTGAATTTCCAGTGTAATTCAGGAGGAAGACAAAGCAGAGTTGAAATTTCACAGTCCTSCTTTTCCTTAACTAAAAAAATGAGCTGCTGTTTGCTAAAATGCAGACAGTAYTTGCTGCTCTCCATTTCCATGCACACCAGCACTCAAACTGCTGCTTAAGGAAGCATGTGAAGAGAAGTACAACGAAAGGACCTAACAGTACTGAGAAACATCTGGCAAAACATGGGAAATGGACAGAGTAAAGATCATACACATCTAGAGCACCAGGCAAACTTTCACCCCCTCATATAACCTACATATTCTCTAAGGTTTCTATGTATTTTGTCAAATAGATGAAGTTCTTTTATTGACAGAGTGTAAAGTTTGTTAATCAGGCACCTCTTAAMATGTGAAACTGATACAGAAAAAATRTTCAMAGCAAAGGTAACTTACAGAAGGGTGAGCTAGCCCCTCTCATTAATACTTCAAACTTGTAATCCTAAGAGATGAGTTTCAAAGAGGAAGGTATATCCTTTTGCATTACCCCATATCCCCAAATGTTGCCCCACTGCAAAAAGGTTGTTTTCAGTTTGACTGATGCCAGCTATGACATTCAGTAATGATGCAGGAAGATACTTCCATTCATTCCTACCTTGCATCTTCCATTCAGCAGCCCACACTTCACGATGCAGATGAACATGACAGTAGTAAGTATCTGCCATGCTTACAATGTCCTGGTCACTTCTAAGAGAATAGAGAACTCCACTCCTGGTTTCCTCCCGATCTGTTTCTTGGATTGATACATTGCCTTGTACCCAAGATATATTTGGTGCTGGATAAGTGAGAAAGGCATAGCACTTCAGTCTCCTCTCAGTGTTGGTCTTTTGGTATTCCAKTGCATAAGAAGAAGGAGCTGTAGGTGAAAAAAAAATTAAAAATTTGTCCTACTAATTTAAAAATAGTTTTTAACTTGAAATGATTGCTCTTTTGAAATAACATTGGGGGAGAATAAATACAGCTGAGAACAAAACTTACCTGATTTCAGAAGAAAGCACAGCTACTTACTGTGAATGCCAAAATTTGTACTATTCTGAGAAGTAACATAATATAGACCACATAGCTACCCCTTAGAAATCTGGGTGCAGTAGGTTATGAAAACAAGAGCTGCACTCTAATTTTCCAATTTGTGTTACAACATTTCACCAGAGAAGACAGATTGCCTCGTAACACCATTAGGCCCAGAAGGTGCTCTGCTGGGTCAGAGGATTTTGATTCCATGGGAGAAACAACACAAGAAAATCTACTGCTGTCATCCCATTTGCAGTGGTGCAACCCAAGGATTTTTTTATGTTTTACTGACCTCTTACATGTAGCAGCACTTCCACTTCTGTTCTAGTGTGAACTGTTCCCACATAGCAGGTATAAGAGCCTTCATCAGTCATGGTCAGGTTACTAAGTTTCAAGGAGGCATTCCCACTGGAGATGCTCTCTTGGAAAAGATGTGTTCTCTGTCTGTAATGTGGATCTTGTTCTTGCAACTGATCCTTCTGTTCGTAGTAACTGTGCACATTTTTGATCCCTTTGCGCCAATGAATTACTTCATCATGCCCAGGTGGGAAAAAACAAGGGAGAACACAATCCTTGGAAAACAGCCCTGTTACTTCTTCCTGTTCTGTAAAACCTAAAGCCCATGAGTACAAATGAATAAGTTTAATCCAGTCAACAAGTRTATTTCTGTCCTTCCTCATCCCTGACAAAAAGAAATATTCTTGTGGGCAGCACATCACATTCCATCAGGTGTGCCAATGCCTCTTTCGTGGCTTTTCTGTTGCATGAGTCTCTTGGGACAGCAAGAGTCTCCATTCAGTGTAATCAGGATTGTAACACACAACTCTGCTCTTTGAACTTCTAAGAAATCCTTAAGTAGAAATCCTAAGTAAGCACCTATATATTCAAATCAGCACACCACCACYTTACCACCTGAGCTTCAAATGTCTTTCCACACCTTGAACCACATCTTTTTTACTTTGCACTCCAAAACCTTTTGAGCTGCAGCTTCCTACTTRCTCAAACATTCACAGCACCATGCTGCAATGACCCACATTACCAACCATCCCCACATAATGCCAAGCAGTTGTACCATCACAGGAAAAACCAGACATGGTGCTGCAACTGACAGGAAGTATAGAACTTCTTGGAACAGCTTTTCCACCACAAACAGCTTGAGGGTGCTCTGTCCCAGCCCCTGAGACAATTATGGTGTGCCTTCCTCAAAATTAATTCACACAAGTGGTAGCATGGTAGCATCTCATTTCTGTCAACATTTAATTTAGGCCTTGCTGGCATAAAAGAGCAATTTAAAATGAGTCTTTTAAAAAACTGACTGCATTGACTTAGCATCGTCACATGGACCTTCTTGGCCAAGGTCAGACAACCTGTTAGGCTGGTACTGAGTGCCCAGCTGCAGCTGCCTTCTCAGAAATTCCGATGCCCTCTCCAGCTCACCAGGCAGGATAATCTAAATGACTTTTCATTAGTTTTCTCAATGCAAAGTCAACCYATTTGCTGCAAACTATTTTCAGTCTCCAGGGACAACCASTGCCTGCWGAGCCATGGGGCAGAAACATGGGCAGGTAACAGTCAGGGGGCTCAGCAATGGCCACAGCCATCCATGCAGCCACCTTACAAACAGTCTTTTGCTTCAGAAGTGTTTTAGGTTACAAAAAAAATTTATTTGGTACCATTAATAAACAGTGTTTGAATTCATTAACTCTTCTTATTAAAAATTAGTAATAATGGTCTTATTATTTTTCAGCTAAAACCTACCCAAAAATGTAGCACTGATGGAAAACAAAAAGATGGTAAGAGGTGGTATGTTCTGTCCCTTCATGTCTTCATTGGTTCATAGACTCATGTCAAACTGGCAAAACAAAAGCAGGTGAAAAAAATGTTTTAATGCAGGTAAAAGATATGCCCATATAATTTCCTTCATACAACTTAGGACTACAGGCCTTTGTATCACTTTGTTTAAAAGAGACTTGGTCCAGAGTTTTCTCCTTAAGGTCATTCATTATATGATCCTATGCATTTCACAGCGGTTGAGGTCCTCTCATTACTTTGTAGGCCCTTGAAGATTGATACCTTATTTTTAAAAAATAGGAAGTTTTTACTCTCAGTGTTTTTGCAGGGCTAGGGATACTAATCTTCACATTTCCAAGACACCAATGAAAACCGGTCAAGAGAAATTTGCAAAAGGATGTAAGATGTCCCTTGTCAAACCTGATTTTCTTTACTTCTTAAAATATATTTCCGATTACTGCAACATTTGACTTTCTGGGATGGTAAATTTGACTGCATTTGCAAATACTGCAGATATAGAGAACTATTCACACTTYTTACACTTTTAAAAATARGTGCATGGAAATCTAGGGTAGGAATGCAAACAAGGAAGAGATTCTCTTATYGTATCTTGTGTGTTGTCAGTTAAATAGCAATGAACTGAAAGCTCTCATGAAGAACAGAAAAAGAAGTTAGGTAATAKTTACCTTATTGTAACTATTACCTGAGTGGAGGAATATTACAGTCTTCCTATCCTAAAATAGGGCATACCCCATTGGAGAAATTACCTCATGAATCAAATAACTTCAAAAAAAAAACTTTAAAGAATTTTACCTAGTCCTTTTCTTCTCCCCAAAAGGCAGCTAATAGGTACCATTCCTAAYAGACACAGGGTACAAGTTTAGCCARGCTTGCTAGCCAGAACTTTTAGTAGTAATGAATAATTTTGACAGGCGTGTGAGGCTGTATCTCTAGYGAATGTGAATCTTAAATCACAAAGATTTTTGAGTATTATTTCTTCTGAAAAGCTAGTATGATTTTTTAAATGTATTTTCACTATTCTATTAGGAGAAAAAATACAAAAAGACCAGAGGCATCAAAACATTAAATCTGAGACAGAAGTGATGCAAGGATAAACAAAACGTTTATGATATCTAACTTTGTTCCATGTCAGCAACAATTGCCAATATATACCTTCTTTTCTCCTTGYATTGGCAAGTGGGGTACACCATGCTTTATTGGATTTTTTGCTTATCTACCTATCACTTCCAACCTGACAGACACAATATACTGTTCCTGATATTTGAACTTCAGAAACTGCAGTCAATGATGTATTTCCTTTAGTGAGGGATCTGCCACATTTAATTGAGCTGCCTTTCATTGGCAGTGATTCTCTGAGTGACATTATTCCAGTGGTATMTTTGTGATACCTTTGGGAGCTACAGAGACAGCATGCACTGCCTCCTACCTCCTAGCTGTATCCCATAACCCTGTTCCAAAACACAGAACTATGAGTAATTAGCTGAAAATGCTCATGTTTAGCACAAACCTTAGCTTTGGATCTTCCCACTGCATTGTGTTGAGAGAAATGTATGTTGGTCCATAGAAAAATCTGTTGAGTGTAGGCTCTGGCCAGTCTTTTCAGCAAATTCTGGGGTCTTACAGGAATAAAGTGTGTGAATGTAATAAAGTGTGTGAATGTAATAAAGTGTGTGCTGATAGTTGGAGTGACTCTGCAAAGTGTTGAACAAACATGCTTTTCCTGTTTGAAACAGACTTAAATGGCACAACCAAGAAATCATGTCCTAAGGCTTTGTAGTGAAATATCAATRTGAAATTATGTATACAGACAGTGCACAACTAGAATTAAGATCACTGTAGTCACGTTACTCACTGACACTCTAGTTTTCAGTGGAATTATTTCATACTAATCACCACAGACTCAACTGGAAAGCAGCTCAGACAGGATTTCTGAGAGCAAGGCAAGGTGCTAAAATGCACCTCCAAAGACACACTGAACAGCTCAAATAGTGTTAGGGGAAATAATGCATTTACTTTGGCCGCTTACAGGAAAAGAACATATACTTTGTTTTCCTTCTGTTAATCAGTGATTAAACTAAATTTTCCCTCATCTTTGAACTACGCATTCAAGCTGAAACCTGATCAGACCACTCCYACAGCAAACAGCCATCGAAATTGGTGGCTGCTCAGTGCACACTCTTCTGTGATACCTTTAAGAGCAAATATGCATGTGGAAATATTCTCCAGTCAAACTAAAGCTATTTATTTCTTGCTATAAAGGATTCTGATTAATTCCTTTTCAATGTAACTTAACAACTACGCACTTCAAGCACACACACGCTTATGAGGATTGGGAAATACCAGAGGATTTCAGTTTTTGTCAACAAGCAAAAAWTAAAAACAAACATGCAAAGTTCTGAAAGACACACCTTAGTCACATACTGCTAAAGTTTCCTACCTGCCATAATGATACTACCTTTCCTGAATGCCCTCACTGAATCTTCAGATGAATTTCCTGTAATAGAAAAGAGAATTAATTTTTTGCCTCCCCGCAATGAAACCCTTACAACTTAAATGCTAACTTCATACTTGTTGAGAAATACTTCCAATGGAAGAAGATTCCAATCTAAGCATCCAAATTTGTCTTAGGAAATAGACAAAAAACACTACGTTTTAACTGAATATACATGTATCATATTTCAAATCTCCCYCATTCCATACACTTAAAACACTATACAGCTGCCAGAAAAAAACGCCAGGGGCTTTTTACCTCTTTTTATTTCACAAGCAGCCARGTACCAGAGCCTCGTTGCTTCCTATGTTTCCTGACGGCAGGGTTGGTAGTTATATAAAGAAAAAAATGAAACAAATAYACAGATCTGCCTGTTGATCTTTGCCTCTCTCTGCAGCACTCGGAGAGTGGCACACCCACGTGGCACACAGCTTAAGAACYAACGTACAAGTTCATGCCCGTCCCRGGCAGGGCGAACKACRCAGGTGAAGCTTTCACCCCTTTTGCCTTCCCCTCCTTCTCTTCGGGCTTAAAACTCTGTTTCTCTTAACCATTTCTTTTGCCTGGTTTTAAGCAAAATCAAAGCTCCAGCGAGCTGTAACAGAGGAAATGAGTTCTCTTGAGCGATGTCAAGCTTAGAGCAGCCACGATGAGGTTGAAAATGCGCTCGGTCAGCGTCACTTCTCTTAACGGGGTAGTGCGGTCAGATCTGTCACGGTCAGATCTCTGCGGGCACAGGAGAAGAATAATGTGAGAAAATTAATCAAGACGCTCTTCTCAAAAAGCTGTTCCCCTAAAACAATGTCTAGGTGCCTAGAGCTGCCTGCAGGGGTAGGTGACTACTTTATAACAACATTTTAAAAGTGACTCAAGAACAAGATTTAAAAAATGACTCAAGAATTTTCGGGAAGACACAAAATATCCTTAAACAAAATGCAGGAAGAAGTGGCAAGAAGGGGTGTCTCTCCTCAAAGACCTTGGCTGGTACTGGCAATACACAGGTGAGATGTGTCTCTTGCATTCACGGAATCAYTTMTGYTRGAAAAGACCCCTGAGATCATCGAGTCCCATCTTTAACTCATGAACTTCTCTGCTAAACCACGACATTAAGTACACGTCCCGTCGCTTCTCCAACACTTTCAGGCTGGCGACGCTCCTGGCCAGCTCGTTGCAATGCTCGACAACCCGGTGAGTGAAAAAATTCTTCCCAACACCCAATCCCCTGGCACAGCTTGAGGCTGTGTCCTCTTGTCCYGTTACTAGTTAGCTGGGAGAACAGACCGACCCCCACCTGGYTACARCTTCRTTCCRGGRAGTTGTAAAGAGTGATAAGGGCTTTCCTGAGTGGCTCCTCATGGCAATGCACTCCAGATCTTTCACCAGCTCCGTTGCCCGCCTCTGGACGCGCTCCAGCGCCTCAGCGTCTGTCTTGGTAATGCGGTGTCCAGAACCGGGCACAGCGCTTSAGGTGTTTTAGGAGTGTCACATTTCGGGAGATGCACCTTTTCGCACCCGCTGCCTTCCCCAGAGCGCGCCCCGCGGTTGATGCCACTCACTTTTACCCAGCTGCAGAACGGCACCTCAGCCCGTGAGCTACAGCCGCTGTCCGCTCACCTGCACGGAGCGACGCACTCGGAAGGTTATCTCMGGGACGGRGGAAAASAASCGGAGAAAGTTTTCAATGAGGAGCYCACTGTAACTCCCTTGAGAGCTGCGAGATTAGAGTTTCGGCGAGTAACAAGTTTTGGATTGGCTGTGGGGCCCCTCGCACCGCCCCGAGCCCTCAGCGCCAGCCCGGGCCCGCCTCTGTTGCTGTGGTTACGAGCAAGCACASAGCCAAGATGGCGGAGGAGGGCGCGGGTCCCGGCCGGCGCGGGGAGCGCGGTGAGGAGGCTCCGGGGGAGCACGGCCCCGGCGCGGCTTTTCACATGTTCGTGCTCATGGAGGACCTGCTGGACAAGCTGAAACTGCTGAGCTACGAGGAGGAGGCGCTGCGGCGCCACAACATGCGGCCTCTCTCCAGGTGCTCCTGGGCAGCGTCCCCYCCTCGCCCCCTCGGAGGGCGCTGGCGCGGCTGCGGGCGGGGGCGGCGGGCAGGAATCCCTCCGGGTCCTCGGAGCCTGGAGAAGGAAGGCGGGGCCCGCATGGCAGGATACCTGGCTCAGGGAAAAACAGCCGGCCGACTGCAAGTTTTCCGTGGGATCGGAAGCTTTCGAACCGCTAGGCCCTGCCAAAGGCTGAGCTGGGATAAGTAAATAGTCCCTTGACTTTCTCTGCCTCCGGCAGGTACTGGTTATCTTCATGCCAGGGTACCTGTGCAAAAAAATAATTTACTTAAATTCTGTCCTCCATCAAAGTTCTGCCTAAAGTCTAAGTTAATCTAAACAATTCTAAATTYTTAAAATTCAGAATAGCTGTTTGTGGAATCTGTTTTTTAACCCTTTGACCTTTTACAAAAAGAGTCTTGGACCTATTAAGGCTGAGGTTTCGTATCCAGCACATACTTACTTCGTATGTAATGTTCCTTTGTGGTTTTGTTTTTTTGTTTTTTTAATTATGATGGGAGACTGGAAGCTTGGGAAATGGGACCAATGTGCTTCCAATATTTTTTTTTTTTTTTTTTTAATTATGATGGGAGACTGGAAGCTTGGGAAATGGGACCAATGTGCTTCCAATATCCACCTGCCCAAATAACTTTTAAACCCATCTGTCACCTTCAGCCAGACTCCACAGCAGGCTGTCACAGAATTAAGCTTTTAATAAGCAACAGTTTGGTAACAGAGTCCAAGTTGCTCCCTTTTTGGGAAGGAGGCTCAAGTATGAGCACAGTGGCTGTCAGTTGGTTCCAGCTGTTGAACTATTGGAATGTTTGGAGCAGGGCAGCAAACCTTTGTGTACCTTAGCTAGTAGCTGTGTCTTTAAAAGGAAGTACTTGGTTCGCAGTATCCAGTGTGCCTGTGATTTATACTTTCAGGGGAGAAACTATGGTCTGGTTTTATGGACTGAATGCTTGTTAGGACCACATATTTAAATATGGTGTGATCCAAATCAGTTTTCATTGCTCTCCAAAGCAACCCAAGGCACAGTAGGTAACAGTGGGTGGAATGATCGCTTCAAAACATGCTCCTGATCTGAGCTGAATGCATTGATTTAGGTACTTGCCTCTCTTGAGGAAAAGTATGTTTCTTAGTTTCTTGCCTCTCTTGAGGAAAAGTATGAAGGGGAGGTTGTTTGGGGAAGTTGGCAGACAAGTCTGATGTTGATTAATAATTTACTCAAAGCTGGAAACAGGCGAGCTGGGTGTAGAAAACTTTGTTTGCTGTTGTTATGTGTGAAACTAGGCATCCTGAATTTAGTTCAGGTGGGTTGCTCCTTGAGAGAATTGGGTAAAGAAGCTGCTCTGTAGCCTGTGCTCACCTATAATGTTGTAAGAKCTCCAGAAGCTCAAAATATGTCCCATTTGTCCTCTTTTTAAACAGGCACTACTTTGCCCTGCCCACCAACCCGGGTGAGCAGTTCTTCATGTTCTGCACACTCGCTGCTTGGCTGATCACCAAAGCGGGACATCCCTTCGAGCAGCCACAGGAGTACGATGACCCCAATGCAGTGATTTCCAATGTGCTCTCASAACTGCGATCCTTTGTGAGTGTCACACAGGCTCTTTTTCCAAGGGTATTGCAAACACCTGCATTCCCTTCAGAAATAACAGCAATCACACACTGTTCTCCTGCTGGGTATGGTACCAAGGACTGGACRGACTTTTCCTAGCTATAAGTTTGTGCTACATTAATTAATTGGAAGTTCACACRGGCTGTACCTACTTGGTAACTTTTTTAGCACTATAAAAATGGTCTTATGTACGATTCCAATTTGTTTTATCCTACAGTCTGTAAAATGGATTAACCCAGGCTTACATTTTCTAGTGCCACATATGTTGCTCATTTATAGTAGCATAATTTACAGAGATTTTATCTGGAAAGCTTACACAGTGTTTGTGATCCTGCTCTTGCCTCAGTGATGTAATTCATAGTGTAGGAAGTGGTTTAGAATAGTGTTCTTCTTTTTTTGTTGTTTTTATTAAGGAGTTAAAGGTTGTATAAACTGCCAGGAACTATTGGGAGCTGCATAGGAGAAGACTATGACAGCATTACTAATATGACTTAGCATTACTAAAATCTTCATACAGAAGCAAACAACGTTTAGGTGTTAGTGTACAGAAACTTAACTTCCTACGGGGAAATTTGGGTTGTTAGGCCATTAGAAACAGTGTATCTCTTTATTTTAGGGAAGGCCTGTGGATTTTCCTCCCTCAAAATTAAAGACAGGCTGTGGAGAGCAAGTGTGCTATGTTCTTGATTGTTTAGCTGAAGAAGCCTTGAAACACACTGGATTCAGCTGGAAAAGGTACACTACACTTCTAAGCACCCTCCCTTATGCATTGTTTTCCAGCAAACAGATTTAAGTTGTAGTGGTAAAACAATACATAAGAATGACTGAAAAGTTTTGCTTGATGTTTCATGAGATGAAAAATTCAACTAGTCTTGAAGCAGGGGGACCAATTAATTCCTAATGCAATTTCACACAACTGGCCTATTACCAGCAAGGCTGAGTTTGCACCATTATAGACTTAGCTGATTAAGATTTAACTGATGACTTCTTTTTTTTTGCGTATTTCCCTATGCATAACTCCTTGTTAATCTGACATTTAAGTTGAAGCATTTAATGTCCTTTTAGGTTCTATAAWTCAGTAATAAATTCCTGGAGTTCCTCATGTTACAAGTAGACTACAGCAATTTGATTTAATTTGAAGGAAATCTTAGGACAAATTAGATGATAGATAATATCAAGTAAATAAAAATGCCTTTTAAAGTGTTATTTCATTTTTCCTTCTGMTGGGTTTTGAAATCGGTATAGCAAAGTAATTTCTACTTTGGAAATATTTTACTGTTGCTTCTGTTYAGTACACAAATTCCACTGTGGGCTAACAATAAGCCTGCGGTGACTTGCACTTGAATTTTGAGAGCTTAGACCAATAGAGAAAAATCCCAAAATTTACTTTCTACATGTCTTTGTAGTGTGAATGTACTGTACTGTTTGGCATAGTAAATAGCCTTTTTTAAAGACAGWCCAAGATGAACAAGACTTTTAAGGCTGAATGTATTTTTATTTAAGTTATGAAACACTAATCACCATCTAGATGTATTCCACATTATCCATTCTTCTCAAGAAATGTTTTGTTTGCAGAGATATTGTTGTGTTTGAAAGCTGTGCTGTTCTYTGAATTAATTTTAGGCCAGAATATCCAACAGAAGAGCCAGAAGAAGAAGAAATAACAGAAGATGATGCMGAATTAACACTCAGTAAATTGGAGGAGGAAGTTGCAGTAGGTTTATTTGATTGGTTTTTATTATATTGGTCAGCTATGAGGAAATTTTTCTTCACTGTTCATTTTGTTTGCCTTTGTTTAATGAGTCTTTTCTATTAGTTGTTCAAGTTTTTTCCTGCAGCTCCATGTCTGTATTGTCAGGTTCTYTGTAGAGTTTTTTGTTGCTTTTCAGGTAAGATTAATTCTTCAAGACATGGCATGTGTTCTTATCTGCAGTGGAATCTCTGCWTGCATCACAGAGATTCAGAATTGTTTATTTTCTACTGACACAAGCTCTTGAYGTTAAATTWAAKGTTTAAAATAGGRAAACAGTCAGCTGTCTKCTCTTTTCTGTATCTTGTTAAGGTYTAAGCTGCCTAAATTGGGGATRAAACAGGTAACTTAAACCAGTTGAAATCCTTCAAAAAACCTCTGGGTTTGCTCTCAGGTATTATCCTAGGCCATGATTTTCACAACTAAGATGTTCTGTTAGCTCTTCTGGATGTTAATAAAACCACTGAGGTTATTACCTTACTAGGTATTTCATTATCAGGCAGTTAAAGGATACTCACTTTAGAGCCCCTAGTGGTTCTACATGGATTACTTACATGTCAATGTATTTTTTTTTTGCCCAGTCCATTGTTGTTGGCAGTATGTTGATATTAGTTGTATCCGCAATTGAATTTAGCAGTATTTCCAGCAGTTAAATGCTAATGATGAGGTTCATGGATTTTTCTTTGGTTTTGATTCTTCTGAATAAAAATGATGAGGATGAGAGATATAAGCCTAGTTATGAAAATCTTGGGGAATGAGATAGACTGTATTAGGTGGCCAGCAGTAGCCAGTGAGGCTGGGTGTGTAAGGAAATCTGAAGTTTGGTTTCTCAGTTCTGATAACCAGCTTCTTGTTCTGGTGGTTTGTTCTTTAAAGTGCTGCACAAATATGTATTGTCCATTTAGCAAAAGATAGTCTCAGTCTAGTCACCATTAATTTCTTGCAAGTATTCAGGGGTCAAACATGCCAGAATAGTGGTTCCTGTTAGTTAAAAACTGGGTAAAGTAGAGGAAAGAGGAATAAACTGCAGGTTTTCACCAAGTCTTGAAGAGTTCTTCCCTAAGACCTGTGTTATTGCAGGTTTTGTGATTTGTGTAGAAAGGAGGTGGATGATGAAATTTCATTTTGGTGGAAAAGACAGTCAAGAGGAGGACAAGATGTATAARGGGGAAGTGTATAGATGATAAAATGGCAGATGAAATACAGTATAGATAAGTGGAGGTTAATGCACAGAAAAAACATCTTTATGAGTGATGGATTCTCAGCTGATCATAGTCAGAGAAGAGTGGAATTTTGAAATTATAATAGAGCTCTAGAAAACTGTGAGCTGAGTGTGTGGTCCCATGGGCAAAAAAAAAAAAATCAATTGCCTCAATTTCAATTGTATCATTCTGCACACTTAAGACGTGGCATTGTTCTGCAACTCCAAATACATAGTGCAACCAACATCTTGAAAACTATGTTTAGGTCTAGTTGTAGTTTGGTGGGTTTTTTTGTGTCGTTTTACTTTTTAGGTAAAGCTTTAAGAAACACATAAAATTACAGTTACCAGATAACTATTGATAATGGGTCATTTGATATCAGAGGTCTTAGGTTTGGGGTTTGGATTTTGGATTTATTTTGGTTTTTGTTTTGGGTTGGGTTTTTGGGGTTTTTTTTTGTTGTTTTTTGTTGGTTGGTTTAYTTTTGTAATACTGTGGCACTGGAGGAAATGTGGGGTAGCTTTCATCTTTCACCTTGTCCCAGGCAGTGTGTCTCTTCATAAATTCCATTACCATAAACTCTCCATGTCTTGTTTTTCTACTTAATACTTGTTCTGTGCTTCTGTTAAATAAAATCATGGAGAAAAATTGTGCAATACTTACTGAGTTACTTTGCAACTTCTCTTAAGGAAGAAGAGTCAGACAATGAAGAAAATTACATTGACCTGAATGTTCTAAAGGTGCAAACATACGGATCGGTAAGTTGTTACCTGTCAGTCCTCTCTTGAGAGATTTTTACATYTGTACCAGCAATTTGTTTCTGTTGACTTTAAATCTAAAAATCCTTGTATGGYCTTTACTTGAAAAAACACCCCATCTGAAATGAATCAGCTTATTTTGAAAGAACAATATGCAGCCAGTTTCTAAACTGATATCACTGAAGGACTGCTGGGAACATTTGCAGAAAATAATTTTTTTGTACAGACTTCTAGAGAAACATGGTATTAGTTTCTTGAATGTATTTTAATCTCACATACATACAAACATAATTTCTGAAATGTATTATAATTTCTTATTATACATTTGTCTTTAGTTTTAAGTATGATGAGAAGATTATTTTTGTTTAATTCAAAATCTTTATGAATTCAAAGAAAACCATTAAGGAAATCTGTTACATCTGTAGTCTAGATCATTCTGGATATAAGTATTTTTCTAATATTAACACTGTAAGCCATTATAGTGATTTCTAACAGTTCTCAATATACATAACAATGATATTTTGTGCATAAACTTGGTGATTTTTACACAGAATATTAATGACACTGCAAAGCAAGAAGAGATTTTACAGTCCACRACAGATGCAGCAGATTGGAATCTGGAAGTGGAACGTGTGCTTCCACAGCTGAAAGTCACAGTCAGGACTGACAATAAGGTATGGAAGAATGGATTTGCCTGTGGCGATTGAAATGTGATTTCAGTCAATGCTGTTTACTTTCTGTTAGCAGTTTTTGTCTTCAGTCRTGTCAAGACTTATGAATAATGGGCTCTCCAGTTCTTGTCTGAACCTTTGTCACTTACTTTGACCCTAGAAGCAATAATTTTTAGTAGGGCGTTTTTTTTCAATATTATATTTTTTATGATAACTTACAGGGCACCTTATTTCTATATATTTATTCAGTGGAGATTTTCTTTAGTCCTCTGATATTTCCAAGGTATTCACACTTCTAAAAAATTATACCCTCAGTTTACCAACTATTAAATCTTCTTCCTGGAGGAGAGCTGATGTTCTTACCTTTCAACTGTTCCATTTGTCAACCATGTGAAAGGTTGATTGTATGGAATGTCTCTTTCTGAACTTCATGTGACAATCGAGTAGGTCTGTACCCTGATTTAGTCATCATGAGCTCTCCTTACATTTAGTGAAAAGATGTGAGTGCTTTTCCAGCTGATTTTGGTCACTGTATCCAGATAGCTATCTCAGGGTGGAATTCATCATGTGCATTTCTCACAATTCATGTGAATTGTGCATTTCTCTCCATAGTATGTTTCAAGGAGTCTGGAATGAGCAGTTGATCAGTAGCCATCTGTCTTTGGCAAGTCTAAACCTAGGACTGCTCCTGGCATTGCCATAAGCRTTCTTTCTAGGAGATTGTGTAGCACAGCCAGATGAGAGCACTATTGAAATTGTTCATTTGCAGTGACCCAGCAGGTTGCGGTGTTGGAGCAATCTGCAGCACTGATGTATCAATACTATACATATACATGAAAACAATGGAATATAATTATCTTGCCAAAAATCGKGGAAGCTCTCAACTTCTGCTGAACTGCCTGCCTGTCTTACACTACACTGCATTCTTTTGTGTGAGGAATCGCCTGGTTTGAACCACTCTGCTGTGATAATCAGCAAGCCCATCTGTTGCAGAGAACATGATGCTTGAGTCTTGCAGTGAGGAATTAAAACTTAATAAAGACATACATGAAAAATTGAAGCCAATGTAGGAGGTTTACTAGCTTCCAGCTTAATGCACTATCTCTTGGCCTTAAGGAATATGTCAAAATGAACATGAAAAGAGGATTATTCTTTTTCTAGCTTCTGTGCTTTCAAAAATAAGTGCGGTGAAGTGTTTGGCCTTTTTCCATTATATCAGAAAACATCATATTCTGTTTCCTAAGCTGGGCATGTAAACATAGTACCAGGCKAGTATTAATGGTTTAACCAATGGCATTAGAAACTGGAACGTATTGTAAAGTCCTGGACAGAGGTGGGGGTGGGTTGTGTGCATGTTGTTTTTATTTAAATTCCAAAGTTTGGCAAAATATGAAAAATTGTTACCAGACCAACAAGAGATCACGAGTCTCCTGCAAACCTGAAACACAACATAAGCACATTTTCTCTACTAGCTCATTTCCTGGTGTGCAGTGCCAATTCACAGCACCTCTTCTCAGCTGCCATCCCTGAGTCCATATATGTTTCTTATGATCTAGAACCTGGAAATAATTTTCCCCTTTTTAATTGTATCCCATTATGAAAACCAAGTTTTGGTATTTCTGCCTCTTTCATTTTTCCCGTTCTCCTGGTAACAGTAAGGACTAAAATAAAGAGGAATGAATGGATACTCCAGAACTGGTAGGTGTTGGGCATCCAGGGCACTCATTTTATCTAAGAAAAGCTGAACTAATGCAGCTACAATCAGTATTTTTAGTATTTTTGCCCAGAGTGRTTTCTAGCAGAAATAGTTCCATGAAGATCAGACTCTAAAAAGCAATAGCTACTATGGTATCAGTGAGGATGGCAGTGTTTGTTTATGGATCTGAGTGTCACATGTGACATTTGGGAGATTTATAAATTGTGTCAYATTGAGCCAGTGCCCCTGGCTATGATCATGGCAGTGGCAGGATGATACATGGCAGTAGTATAAAAGAGAACTGCTCCCGCTTTGTGTATCCAGTTGTTTGTGTATCCACTGTTGTTTAGTAACCAGAGAAAGATAAAAGTTGTACTTACCCATGTTTTCATTTGTGATTTCATTTTAGGATTGGAGAATTCATGTAGACCAAATGCATCAGCATAAGGATGGAATTGATTCTTCTTTGAAAGAAACTAGGGTATGTCTTGTATGTACAGTATATTTTACTAATCTGTTAAGCATTTTATTTTCTCTTTTATTTGCTATGCATTGAGAACTAAACTGATCTTTTTGTCTTCATTTTATTTGTGCTATTGCGGTAAAATTAAAAAGGGAAATATGATAATGATGATTAGGGACACTGCTACTGGCAAAATAYCTCGTTGGAAAGAGTTGTATGTGTGAGGATTAACAGGGCTATCAGGTCCAGTAATGAATGCATTACCGTAAGTATATCCTGACTACAGAGGACAAAATAGAATAATACWATCTGAAAGTGCTGTTAAAAACCCCAAAATACTCTCAAATATTGTTGCTAGAGTAACTTACTAACATTGACATRTATAATTAATTGAGGAGGGGAGGGCGATGAAATAGTAAAAACAGAAGTAAGTGTTTTGGAGGTGGGCAAACCAGAACTCCTTGGGAATAATTTTTTGTTGGSTAAACACAGCATTTCTGTACTATTTTTCTCTCTTGCTGCAGGCTTTCATAGCCATTCTTAACTACAGAATCATTTTGATATTCTTTGTATACTGTCTGTATACTGTCAACCCACAGAACGTGATTTTCTAGGGTTACCTTGACAAACTTCATAATGAAATCAGCAGAACACTGGAAAAGATCAATAGCAGGGAAAAGTACATCAACAATCAGTTGGAGCACTTGGTTCAAGARTACCGTTCAGCACAAGCCTTGCTGAGTGAGGTATTGCTGATCTTTTGTTGTTGCCTTCTCTAGTATTAACTTGCTGTTAAGTGCAGGTAGAAGCAAAGGCGACATGGAGTGAATTACCTATGAATTCTGCTGCTGGATACAAAGAGGGGAAATGTTGACTGGCTGTCAAATTATATTCTTCCTAAGCTAAGCTAGCAATTTTTATTTAACTGTTCTACAGGGGAAAGTAGRTGGTTTTTGCCTGAGTATTGTGTGCAGCAGTTGCCAGTCTAAAGCAGCAAATAAATTGTTAGTTCTGCTTTCCTTGTGAAGTTCACACATCTGTCACAAATGGAAAAACTATTCTCAGTCCAGCATTCATCCCTTAGATTGAGTACTGGTGCTAATGTGCACAAAGCACTCTTGATTACTTCTTTGCTTCATTTGGATTTTATGCCAGTAGAGTGCTGCATGAGAAACTTTTTGATCCCCTATTTAGAAGGCCTTATAGTCTGCCTTTTGGCGAGCCCTCCTGGTTGTGGCCCAKGCTGACAAGAAGGCTAACAGAATTTGTCCTCTGCACCTTCTGTTGGCCTTGTTGTTAAAGTCTCTTCAAGATAGTAATTTACTGTTGATGAAGTCTTATTCAGGGTTTGAGTATTCAATCCTGTATRCATTATAGCAAATTATCTCTGTATTTTTTCCCTCATGTAAATGATTAGAGAGCATAGTTATTATCAAATGTATATTTGGACTATTACAATTTTGAAAAGTGCTTTACATTTTTGAATGGTAGTCATTATAGGGGCTGATGTTTCAAGCCTGTCCTCATTTGTAAGCCTCACTGGGGCTTTGTGGGAGAGTTTCTTGAATTGGAACATATGAAAGCAAGTCTTGGTGTTTTCTCTGAGCTATCTCCATACATCTTTTCAACTCTGTCATTACAGCAAAGACATGTTTCTTTGCAGGCTAAGGAGAAGTACCAGGAGGGAAGTGGAGGAGTAACTGAAAGGATTAAAGTGCTTTCTGAGGTAAAACACATCTTATTTTAAAACAGTCTTCAGAGAGTTGGCATTTAGTGGTTGCAGTTTTATGAATCCAGTTCTTTCTGCTTTGTTCTCATGTTAAAGATGAATCTTTGTTTGGGGGAGACAATCTAGTCCAGTCCCTAAACTTTRAATCCAGACTGCCATTGATTTTTAACTCATGAAATGTGAGCTCAGTTTGTAAACGAAGTTAAACACTGTGTATTTTATAACCTGTGTCTTAGAATTATGGAGCATTAGTAGATCATGTCCATACATTTTTTGGAAGAAGAAAAACGTAGCTCTTATTTTTACTTAAAATTAAAAAGTTGAAATTTTTATCTTCCAGGCACTTRAAAGCAATATTTGACTAAACAGTAATTTTTTTCCATACATCAAATTATCTTATTATCTAAATCTGTTTTTCTGTTTTGAGTTTTCTTTTTCCTTTATATCAGTGCTCTGACAAATTAAAAAAAAAAAAAATCTCCTGTCTCCTGCCTCCACATGTTGAGTGTTTCATGACATTTCATTTAGAATTATGGCTTCATTTCCAAATACTTCAACCTTTTGCTCAATTAAAAAAAATTAAATATCTCTGTTTGGGTTTTGGAAATCAACTTTATTTGTTAGACAATGAAGTCTCTGGAATAGTTGCATGAAATAGATCAGACAATAGGAATGTGTTGGAAATTGTAGAACAAGTTTGAGATAGAATAGAATAGTTGGAAGGGACCCACAGTGATCACCCAGTCCAAYTGCAGTAGATATTGCAGCATTTTAATGAGAGTTTTCTAGCAAAGATTTGAGTTAATTCTGCAGAATTAGAGCTTCTTTCTATTTCACTCTCAAGGAAGTAAGTTTGAAAAAGAAAATAATGACTTCAGATTTACAGTGTGCTTTGGAAGCTGATGGACTGATTAGTAATGGTGAACTACATAGATGCAGTGGTGCATGTCTGAGATAAAACAGACACATTGGATGTTAGTGTTTATCTGTTTTCAGGAGTGCAGTCACACCTCAGCCCCCTTGGCAATWCCATTACTGCTGCAGGTATGTTGTAACAATGCAGCAGTGATTCCTCTTTGTTACTGGAAAGGCTTGTTGAAGCCTTAATGAAGGGCTGTTTTCTTGTTATAGACAAGAACACTGAATTACTACCTCGACAATACTTTAGAATCATWCATTTGCTTTTTTTCCTTGTCTACWAAGGCAAACTGGGTGCTAGACAGTGCTGAAAGGCACTTGTGTTCTTCATATGTGCATTTTACTTAACTGTGCCAGTGCCAGCAGGCTGGACTGCTGCACCTTCTTTTGCTGCAGTGCTGTTTCTCAGGTTTCCAGCRTAACTTGCTGAAGTCCTGATGCTCCCAGAGGGGCAGCAGGCATGGTTATTTGATGAATCTTGATCTGCAGGGATATTGGTTCCTATGTTCTTCCATCCAGCATCACACTGAAACACTTCCATTGTTGTTTTTATTGGGGATGCACAGATTTTAAGTAACACCATGCTCTTTGGTCAATTTGTTACTCTCCTTGCTATGATTTTTTACAACATTAATTAGTTAAATTAAAATATTCTGGATGTTTGAAAAATTGTTCCTCTTTATATAACAAGTAAGATGAATTAGTTAATTTTTTAAAATTAATGCAGTTATTCAGCAGAGACTTTTTAAAACTTGATATTCATCTGGTTTAATTAAGAAAAAAATATCTATTTTAAGATTACAGAAGCATTAGAGAAAGTAAAGCAGGAAACAGAAGAGAAAGGAAGCAGTATGACTGATGGTGGTAAGTACATTTTTGCTTCAGACAACACACCCTTTTTCTTGGTGACAGTTTCTAATATGTACTTCATTAAAGAAAAATAAGAGCAATTATAAGGAGCAGAATGATGCAGCAACATCATATCAGTGGGAAGGGATGGATTAGAAACAAAGTGTATGGCACAAAACTTTTTAATAACTTTTCRTAGGTAAGGTGATCCCCTGCTGAAGGTTCTTCAGTTCCCTACCAAACCTCAAGTCAGTTACAGGGATAAGGCTTTAAGCTGAGCAAAACACATAATTGAAAAACCTGTCTTAATGTTGATGCATATTTTTATGAAGCTCTTAGATGTCAAGAAGRCAGCAAAATTGTCATTGCCTATTTCTGTCTTTAAAGTATTTTGCATATTAAAAATGATGTATCAGTACAGTCACGTCTTTGGAGTGGAACACCCTTTTGTTCATTCAACTCTTCAATTTTAAGGAATGAATTACAGCAAACAATGCTTTTGTGTTAGGGGGCTGACAGAGTTGTACTGTTTATCTTTTTTTGGACAGCTCCTCTAGTGAAGATTAAACAGGCCTTAACAAAATTGAGGCAAGAAACCATTCAGATGGACATACAGATYGGTGTGATGGAACACACATTGCTCCAGTCAAAGCTGAAAGAGAAGTCCAATATGACTAGAGACATGCATGCAACAGTGATTCCAGAAGCCACAGTAGGTGCTTATTAAAATTGGTTGGACCTGACTTGGTTTGCCCAAAATACAGTTTTCTAGCATTTGCTTTTTTCTGAGTTCAGAGGTTTTGTTTATGTTGGGGGAGGAGGATGCTCTTTTTTTCCTGTTCATTTTTAACAAGACATTTGTCATGCACTTTTTTAAGAAGTAACATGCACACTTTRGACTCAGCATGGAGCCATGCTTAGTTTTGTACATATCTCTTCCAAATATACTAATAATTTTTTATTTATGAAGATATCTCTACTTCATTGGAGAATGTTATGTAGTGTGAAAGCATATAAAATTATGSTGACAGGCTGTAATCTTGATACTCTACAGTGCTGAAAGGAAATTGCTTGTAAAGGACTTGAAAGGAAGGTAAGACATTTATTATCACCATTTGCATACATTTAGTATAAAGCATTTAATTGATGATTCTGAAATAGTACAGCATTTCTCTTTCTAAGGCTGRGTTAAAACTGATATCAGCTGCAAGACTCCTCTAACAGCAGCAATATCAAAACCTATATAAGACCAAAGAAGGTGAAAAGTATTGTTTGAAAACCACTCTAGGCTTTCTAATTCTTTTYCATGTGTCATTGCTGTTTCAGAGTCACTTTTTGTATTAGCATTGGGTCAAATGYTTTTTTCATTTATAGTGTGTAGTGGAGTTCTGTGGACATAATTTGGGTTATTCTTGTTTTCTGTTCTTGTGTTCTTTTGATTTCTGTGAAGGAAAAATGTTGCCAAATCTAGTTGAGTAATACAGAATGAGAAGAAAAATGTAGGAGGAAGGGAACAGGAATGTAATGGCAACAGGGAGCTTGCTTTGTCTTAGTAAATGTGTAGGTAGGGAGTGATTCTAGATGTTCGTGGTAATGAAGGAGTGCGGTGCAAAGAAATAACCTTATTAAAGTACTGGTACATTCTTTTGGTTATGATTATTAATAAGCCATGAACTCTATTAAWACAATTCCAGTGACATTAAAATCCTCCCCTAACTTCTGTAGGCTATTCCATTCATCTTACAATTAATTTCTCTCACTTAAAAATGAGCAGAATTTTTCAGAATCAGTGGATTAGTTCTGTTTCTAAAAGTCAAGATACTTGACGCAGTCAGTACTATAAGCCAGAGTAAATTTGTTGTGCTTCAGTATTTCATTTGCCAAAAAGCCCTAAACCCATTGGATTTAAATAAGCAAAAGCAATATGTAAATGTCAACTATTACAATTTACCTGTGCAAGCAATTGCTGAAAATCTCTGTGAATCACACTGGAAATCAGTTTCCAACTCCTTTCACTGCCTACCTATATCCTCCCACATTCAACTGAAATTAGAAAWGTTATTATTCATGTTCCCTTTGTTAGGTGCTGTTGCTACTGCATATTTACTTTACCAGTGGGTTTACTTCAACTTAAGGTAAAGCAACCTCCTTTTGCACTGCCTGCAATGCAGCTCACTGATGCTTTTGGATTGCAATGTTGTGTTGTATAAATGCTGTTTATGTAAATACTTTCCTCAAAAAACTCCTCCTTCATGCTAATAAACATGATTAATCAAAAACCTTTCCTTATGAACTGAGCCTCTTATTCTATTWAAGTGAACCTGTTGAGACAAGCATGGCCAAAAAGCCTCTAATGTGACAGAATAATCTGAAGAAAAGCTTCCTTTGTGCCAAAGTAATTCTAAAATAGCATGCTAATTATCTGTAATTGATCTACATTATTTTTAACACAACTGTCTGAAATGGCGTTCATCTAAGTGGAACACTTCTGGTGTTGTCTCAAGAGTGATATATGGTCTTTAATTGTCATCTGGCAAAGAGTGGCATTTGCTCCTTGAGGCAGTAAAAGCACTTGACCCTGCTTTGAAAAAAGCCTTACTGATCCATCAGCTGGCTACACCACTGTCCTTAAAAGCAGAGGAGAGCAGAGAGGCTGTCACAAGCAGTTTGAAAGGCCGCCTAGAAAAGCTAAGTTCTGTGTAATTATCCCACTTCTGAATCAATGCAGGAAGCATAATCCACATTAAAATTAAATCACTTGGTTAGCATTACTTCTTGCATTGCTCATTATSTAATGCAGTGTCAGAACTGAAGACCAACGAAACAAAGATGTCCCTGAGTTAGCAGGATGCATGTTAAGCTGTTCTATAAGAGTCTCTCTTCTGGAAAGTATTTAGGGCAGAAGGACTATTCACAGGAGTTAACCTTTATATACATCTGTCCTCTTCCAAGGTCTCTTAACATTTTCAGTCCTCTGGAACATCACCGTGGAGGCATGGTGTCACTGTCACATGTTACCTAGAAGCCAAGTAGAAGCTGGCTGTAGATAGACCAAGAAGTCATTCAGAGAATGAAAGAAAGAACTTCATTTGCTGACTTTGGTTAGCGAAGCCATGGCGTTTGTTCTTGCCATGAGGACTGCAGTAGTTCAGTCTTGTGTGCAGTGCCAGGAAGAGCTGACACTTGGCTCTTGGAAACATGTTGTTGAGGAAGGCTCATTGGTGCCCAGCACACTCTCTTGCATGTACTCCTTAAAGTTTTGGGAAAGGAACACTTGCAGCATATTACTTCTCAGGGTTTCTTCAGCTCTGACATACTTCTGAACCTCATAATATGACCCAGTGTCTTATTTCCCTGGGCTGTCTTATATCTAGACTAGTAAGTGCCCTGCTGGGAAATAGCCTTAGTGCTAGGTACTCTATCAAGGTGCTGTTTTCAGGACATTTAGGATTCTGAGAGTGATTACATGCATTACCGTCTTAATACCCCACTCCCCATTCCCTTCTAATGTCGGCAGATAGCAGGAATTGCTGTGCTGAYAAAAAGTGCAAGGGGCTAGTTTTTCACCTTTTAATCCATTTCTCTCATAGAGAACGTTCTACAGGGTTGGTGACTTAACACTGAAATTGCAAGAGTTAAAAGTGGATTTCAGTCATATGCTGAGAATTCATTGTTTCAGAAATGAGACAACATAATCATGTGAACTTGTATTGCTGGGTGCTGTGCAGGAAGCTGATTGAGTTCACATGAATTTGGGAAACCACTGTTACAAACAACTCCCAGATTTGGTAAAAATATTCTCACTCCTGTCTGCTGGTGGCGTTAAAGGCCTTCCCCTCTTCAGCYACCCAAAAGRGAGGAACTTCAGGGAGATTTTCTTCTTGAAAGGGAAAACAAATGTCTACCTACTATTAAACTCTGCCACTTYTTTTTGGAGTACAGCTCTACTATGCACTATGACATACAAAAAAATCACTGTATTGCTAATTGTWAGTTACAGTAAGAGCAATTAAGTCATCTGTGCATGACCTATAAAAAAGGACCAGGCATAAATGAAGAGCCTGTGTGTGAACATTTCCAGCTTCTGTATTCTTTGAATTTTGCATCCAAATTTTGCAGCCTGGGCTTCTCTCCAAGCCTGACAAATGTTAATTAAAAAAAGAAGGAGTTGGTTGATGCTGTGCTGGCGTGCTGGCAGCGTGCCCGTTGGGGATGTCAATGCTGCAGTGTACCCCCACAAGGCAGCTGCAYGTGCATGCGCACAGACCTCTCCCGTGGCTGCAGCCCGCAGCACAACACCATGCCTCTGAAAACCCTGCCCTGCTTCCTGCAGCCTCGCTGCTTTCCATTGCCTTCTGGATGGAGTCACGTTTTAGGAAATGGTTGGGTGATATACGGCAAAGGTGTGAAATTAAACTCTGGGGACAGTTAATCAGTACCAGCGAGGTTAAAGTCAACAAGGAAATGACTGGCTTTTCTGCATGGATACTGCTCATAGGTAGGGACTTTCCACAAGAGGCTTGGAGATAGCAAAGGTTATTTTCATCTGCCATTTCCTCCTTTCGATGTATTTTTTCATTCAGCAAATGCCATTACCAGGGCTTTCTCATGTATTAACTAATACTTAGCTATTGCTCCAGGGCTTGGTGTTGCTGGAAATGTCTGTCTTTCAGCCTCCTAGTAACAGCCCTACCATTTTGCAATTATTCCCACGCAGCACTGGAATGAGCAGGGTTGAGAGCTTTTTATTGAGAGTAAGTAATGATTAGAATAATGCTAGTCTTYCACTTGCTGCCTAGTTTTACTCTGTTCTTTTCCACTCCTCGTGTGAGTAGTTAGGAGTGGCTGTATCTCAGTACTCCATCCCAGAAGTGGCTGAGGTGCTAGTCACTCACATGCTTCAGTTATCTGTTGTAAAAATCAACAAAGGTGAACATTTTAAGGTCAGAAGGACAGAATAATTATTTCTAATAATATTCCTCTTGATAAGGCATTCAWTGCAATTGTTCATTCAAAAATATTTTCCTGTTTCTGTTTTTAAGGAAGACAATACTTCAAATGACGCCTTCCTGTTACTCAATAGTAATACAAATAATTAAACTGTGGAGTGTAGACATCTACCGGATGAAGTTTCCCATCTCTCCTCTAGTTTTAGGGCAGAAGTTTTTTGTCTTATCTTGGTAGGGGGCCTCTTGTAAGTTTTTAGAGAGTTCTCCATATCCTTCTTCATCTTTGCTTGTCCATGAGCATTTTAGCTCCTTTCAAAGAATCCACTTGGGAAAGAATACAAGTCAATAGTCAAACCAAGGAGACAGGCTGTTTGTGAAAACTTTCAGGAAACTAGTGGCAAAAAGATGGTGCAGAAAGTTTCAAAAGGTTTGACAGCATCTGTTGAACATTATTTCCTTTTTTACAGGAGGTTCACAAGTTCCTAAAATGATGGCAGGAAGGATTTCTGCCGAGTTTATCAAATGCTGTCTAACAACAGGAAAAACAATGAAAACTGTGATCTTAAAAGTGTCACTCATTAATTTTGTTCTAGTTTGTCCAGCAGCCATTTGATTACAGCCTTCTRTAGAGTGTAAACTCAAGTAAACTCTGTAAACTCAAATAAAACATTCTTGAAGATTTTCATCCTCTTCAGTTATATAATACTGACTTTGAAGAATAAAAAATACTGTTCTGAGAAGACTTCCTGGGACAGAAGAGTATACTCTAGAGGTGGCTAGGCGTGGCAGGTTTGGAGGTTTTTTCCTCTAAGTATATGTTATGTTATATGTTATATCGGTATGCTGACCTTTCTGTTTGAATAAAAGCATACCGTTAGTATGTTTGGGTTTGTGAGATCTCATTTTGAAAAAAAARGAATTGCAGGTAACTATGTTAGAGAAGATAAACAACTGAAAGTCAGTTAAGTTTTCTGTGAGTTGTGAACAGGATTGATATACAGGTAACAAATTTATATGGATAGCATGAAAGAACTGCATTAAAAAGCTCTTCCATATTATCCTGGCTTAACATGCCTGCACTCAGTTATATTCCACTTGTTGCTTCTAGTTAATCTTCACCCCTCTGAAGTGCACAGATGTTTCCCTCCAACTGGAGGGGAAACATCATCAAAGTGATGATGTTTCYCTCCAAACCAGAAGTTTGAAAACATGGCTTGAATATAACGGATGTGGTGTGTGATATCTGTTAAGCTGGGTGGAGCTGACTCTGTATCTCTGCAGAGTGCCACCTGTGTGCAGCCACTGCTGACACCAATCCACTGTCAATRTCAGGACGTGAGAAGCAGGAAGCTGATCCCACTTCCTGTCACAGAAACCTCAGCTTCAACAGTGTTTAAGAAAACTCTGTAGGAGACTGTAGAAGGCTGGGCAGACTGAAATTGYTATTACAGCTACATAGTGAGGGAAGGTGAACACCATGGTGCTTGTCACCCTTCTGCTGAAAGCAGCTAATCAAAACTCAGCGTCTCGTTGATTGCTCTAATCAGGGAAGGAGAAAGTGGTGAAGAAGCCAGCTGGTAACTTCTGTGCCCAGAATGAATCAAACAAACAGCAGAAAATAAAACACAGAACCTGCTTACAAATTCAAGTGTTCTGCTGCTAGACTTGATCTCTTGACGAGTTTTTGGGGTCAGGCTAAATGTTCTGAGTTAAGATTACTTTCCTACCTCACCTGTGTTTTTTCAGATCTTTACCACTTCTCTCTTCTCTATATGCAATGACCTTTATACGTAATGCCTCAGAATTTTGGATGGATCATTTATCTCTGGAGGACAGACATCTGTATGGTGCACCTTTCAAAACCTCTTATATTTCAACCACCTGCTTCTTGAAAAACTTCCTTTTTATCTGCACCACAAACAGCTCTATTGATACCCAGAGTTTCAAAGCAGTTTAACTTGACCTTTACCAGCATAAGGTTTGGCTAGGAGGAGGGAAACTTTCATTTGGGAAAAAAAATTGATCTGTCCAGTGGTGGGAGAAAAGAAGAAATGAAAGAAAATATGGAAGAAGATATGGCCAGACAATGTATCTTCTGGAAAGCTGTAATATTTCCTGCAGAACCCCAGTTTTCATCCTGTGCCTATACTGGGTGTCCTTGAAGACCCAAATGTGCCGTTCCTGATTTTAGCAGAGTGACCCCAGTATAAAGCTTCAAGAATATAGCAGTGAGCAAGACCCACAGGATACAGAAAGATCTTTCAGTACACAACAGTAASTAAGTCTGTATTTGAGATGAAACATGTCATTTATTTTTTTGAGACTCAGAATACAAAATACCAGT